TATCACTGTGGGTGATATTACAACACTTGATATATTACACAGAACCTGCAAAAAATGATAGTAAGGTAAATCTTAATATATTTTGATTTTATTAGTGTTGTGTTGACTTATTTTATGAATGTGATGTAAAATGTTTTTATTTTACTTTCCAAAGAGGATTCGCTGAATGATATCCATATACAGTTCAGTGTAAATGCTTCATTTTTATTAAATAAAAACTTGATACTACCTGTACTTACAGAATGCTTAACCTAATGGAAGTGTAGGGTGCGTGCACTCTCTAGAGAAAGAGAGAAAGAAAGCACTCCCCCCAGGGGGATGACCACACCACAATCCCTTCTCCATCCTCTCAGGAGTTTGGGTATGCACATACACACACCTAGCATGTTTTTCAAAGCATCGGATCCAGGACTCGAACCATGTGGTCAACCATATAAAACCCAACTGCCTTAAACACCACACTACCTGGCTGGTCCAATTTTAACATACTGTGTTAAAAAAACATGGTGGGTACATGTATGTGCATGCATAAAACCCCAAGAAGAGGGTGGTGAAGGGATTATGGCATGATCATCCCCCCCAGGGGGTGCTTCCTTTTCTTCTGTTTTAAAATTTTATTTATCATCTATTACTCTGTTTGTTTATTTAGACCAGAGAGAGAGAGAGAGAAAGTGAGAAAGCAAGCCGCCAGGTCCAGGACTTGAACCACTGTTGGCCATGTGGGAGCCCAGCACCTTAATCACATCACCTGCCAGCCCTAATGTTTTTAAAGCTGACAGGCCCAGTACTTAAACCACTCAGTTGGTCATGCGGGATCCAGCTACCTTAACCACCCCATCAACAGCTGGCCCAGGAATAGGGTCTTCAATGAAGTTTCAAAGATGTAGCAGGGGACCAGCAGATGGCGTAATGGTTTCATTGCTGGACTTCTATGTCGTTGACCGTGGTTCAAGACCCGGAACTGGTGGCTTGAAATGCACACTGGCAGCAGCATGTGTGTGTGTGCCCAAAACCCTAGGAGAATGGAGAAGGGGTTGCAGTGTGGTCACCGCCCCCCCCCATCCCCAGGGGGATGATATCGCTTTCTTTCTTTCTAGCAAGCACATACCCTTTAGCAAAACTCTCTCTCAAAAAAAAAAAAAAAAAAAAGAAATGTAGGAGGGAAAGTTGAAACTTAGAAGTGGGCAAAGATGCTTTAATGTTTGGATTTGTAAAGTGTGACAGCACAGGTTGTACAATTTCTATTTTCTTCCTCATGATCGGTACACTTCCTGCATGGTTCCAGTAGGTATGTGTAAAAAAAAAAGAAATGTAGTAGGGAAAGTTGAAACTTAGAAGTGGGCAAAGATGCTTTAATGTTTGGATTTGTAAAGTGTGACAGCACAGGTTGTACAATTTCTATTTTCTTCCTCATGATCGGTACACTTCCTGCATGGTTCCAGTAGGTATGTGTCTGCTCTACTGCCTTACCAAGACATTAAGACCTTTTGCCATTTACTTGCTCTACAGGGTAGCTAAAAGCTTTTAAGCATGTCAAATTCCTTTGTCAGTTGCAATGTTAACCTTTTAAGTTTTGTATTTGCAGTTGCTTCTACAATTAAGCTATCTTACTATGTCTGCAGGATGATTCTGTTGTGGGAGCTGGAAATAAGACTACCTCTAATTTCCAATAACTGATAAAAAATTAGGCAGACATTTTCTGTTCTTTTCAAGACTTCATATTTCAACTAGATTCCAAATCTAAGCTTCTGGGTGTAAGTCTTAAAACATGTAGTTGGCCATGTGGGATCTAGGTTCCTTAACCACCATGCCACAAGATGGCCCTTTGTCTTTAAGTATCTTCCATATGAGAGTGAGAGAAAAAAAGGGAGAGGCACAGAGATAGGTATTCTTGACAGGGTTTTGCTGTGTTGTGATCTTCCTGCCCCAGCTTCCCAATTAGCTAGTAAGATAAATCCAAGCAACAGACTTCTTCAATGCCTTGGGGTGTCCCGTTAGAGTGCATGTGGCACCCAGGGACATGGAGTTCTGCTTCTGAGCAGTGAGCTTTTCTCCCATGACAGTACATGAGGTGCCGAGGCTTCACCTGTTTTTGGAAAATCCACTTTGACAGGTCAGCAGGTGGCACAGAGGTAAGTCTCCACATAGCCATGGCCAACTGCATGGTTCAAGTCTTAAATCCTCGGCTTGAAAATCATATGCTCAACATGCTGAGAGCAGAGCAGAGGAGAAGGCATAGCGGCAGGGCCATTCCTTCCGGGAGTGCCATGGAGCTCCCTCCTAGAGCCAAGATGATGTACTGCACGAGAACATCCTTTCTGATGTGATAGCCATATTTTGAAAGCATACAAACTAGGTATCCATCTGCGGAAAGATGAATCTAAGCCCTTACCTGTCACCATTGACAAAAATCAATTCAAAATGAATCAAAGATCTAAACCTAAGATCTCAAACTATAAAACTACTGGTGGGGTAACAGCAGTTAGCATAATGGCTATGTCGCTGGACTCCCATGTAGTCAACCACAGTTCGAGTCCCGGACCCAGTGGCTTAAACTCACGCCGGGTGCGTGTGCGTGCATGCCCAAGATCTTGCTTTCTGTCTCTCTCTGTCTTTCTAGTGAGCACACGTGCCCTATAGCAAAGACCTCTCCAAACACAAACAAACAAAAATCTACTGGTGGAAAACACTGGGGAAACTCTGAGAGATATTGGGGTAGGCAAAGACTTCTTAAGTAAGACCCCCAAAGCACAGTCAATAATCCCAGAAATAGACAAGTGGGATTATATCAGATTAAGAAGTTTATGCACAGCAAAAGACAGTAATTGCTATGAAACAACAAACTTCGTAATGGGAGAATATTTTTGTAAACTATGCTTCAGATAAGGGACTGATAATCAGAATACACAGGGAACTCAAGCAGTTTACCCCAAAAAGATCAACCAAAAAAAAGATAAACCCAGTTAAAAGATAGGAAAATGAAATGAAAACAAACAACTCTCTAAGGAAAACATACGAAATGACAAAAGGTATATGAAAAAATGCTCGACATCCCTCATGATAAGGGAGATGCAGATCCAAACCACAATAAAATACCACCTAACCCCAGTCAGAATGGCAAAGATTAAAAAAAAAAAAAAA